CACAGGCCCTGTGACCCCCCGGGGTGCCCGCACAGGCCCTGTGACACCCCAGGGTGCCCGCACAGGCCTGTGACACCCCGGCATGCCCGCACAGGCCCTGTGACCCCCCGGGGTGCCCGCACAGGCCTGTGACCCCCCGGGGTGCCCGCACAGGCCTGTGACACCCCGGCATGCCCGCACAGGCCCTGTGACACTATGGGCTGCTCCCCCTGGTTTTTTTTTTTTGCCAGTCCTGGAGCTTGAACTCAGGGCCTGCTTTTGCTCAAGGCTAGCATTCTAACACTTGAGCCACAGGGCCACTTCTGGCTTTTTCTGTGTATGTGGTGCTGAGGAATGAAGCCCGGGGCTTCATGTGTGCTAGGCAAGCACTCTACCGCTGAGCCACGTTCTTCCTCACCCCCATAGCTTAGAGGCAATCTGATGCTCCACTGTGGAGTTGAGTGACACACAGCTGGACCTCTGCTCTGGACCTCTTCAGGGCAGCCTGAGGATTAGGCATGATTAGTCTGGGGCCCACTAAGCTGATGGTAGGGACTGCGATTGCCCAACTGTCTGGCTAAGAAACATCCTGCCAGAGAGTTCACACCAAGGTTTGGTGCAAGGCCCAAGCACAAAACGGGGTGGGGGCGGGGGACCTAGGAGAGGCAGAGTCTGAGGTTCTGGCCCATCTCAGGACCACTCACATTGCTAACCCATCCTTAAGCCCTCAGCCTGGGTTTCCAGGTCCTGGGATCAAATCTCCCTCTGCAGGCAGCCACGCTGCAGTTGCCTTGTCTCCCTGGGCGGCCGGCAGCCGGCTGGTCCTGAGCAGACTGTCCCTTCTTTACATTCATTCATAGGGAGCGCCTCTCATTGCTGCCTGTTCTCCCCTGGGTGGTAAAAAGGTTTGGAGCCCCTGAGCTGGGCAGGGTTCCATGAGGAATCCAGTAGTACTCTGGGCGGCGGGCAGGACAGGTCTGCGGGGACACAGCCTCCCCATGAGTGGGTCACTCAGCTGTGGCTCTGTGGACGGGGCTGGCTTGGGGCCTCACAGATGTCTTGTGGCTCAGGCATCCGGAGCTCAAGGGAAAGTGGTTCGTTCCCACACCTACTTCCCTCTTCCTTCCTTTCCAAACATCAGGAACTTGTCCTTGTCTCGGCCCTGTGGAGCTCTGGCCTTCCACCATTTTGACCAGAGCGCTTCTGTGAGCTTTGAGTCGGGCAGCCGTCGGTGGCTCAGAGCCTGCTCTGAGGAAGGGCAGTGGTGTCCTCACGGGGCTGTGCTCCTCTGCAAGCCTGGGAGGAGGGTAACAGGCTGGCGTCCTGTGGCGAATAGAACCAGGGTACTGGCGTGAGGCAGGGGAGCCAGTGTCTAGGCCGAGCTGCCCCGGATGCAGAGTTACCCCCTCTTCTGCTGGCATTCTGCCCCTGTCCATTTGTCCTGCCCTCTTCTGGCCTCCTCCATCCAGCCCGGGCTCATCCCCCAGCTCCTTCCTACCCTTCCTGCCACAGGCCAATGAGCAAAACCACTCCCTGGCCCAGCCTGGTCTTATGTGCATTTATGCAAGGCACACAAGCCTGAGTGCCACAGGCAGCCAAGGCCAGGCGACCCCACAGCCTTGTGCTCTGGAGAGCGGCAGCAGGTGCCTCAGAGCTGGCCAGCCTGGGCTGGACATGCGCTGTCCCAGGAAGCTATGGTTCTTTGAAGTTTCCAGGCCCTCCCTGTCCTGCCCTAGGAAAGGGCCAAAGGCCAAAATAACAAGTTGAGAAGCACAGCAAGCCTAGGGCTGAGGCAGAGCTGTCCTGTGGAGCCGTGAGTGTCTGTCACCTCCAGCTAGACAAGGTGGGGTCCTCAGACCTGGGGCTGGAAGTTTACAGGACGCTCCACAGGAAGACTGTGGCTGAAACAGGCCTTCAGGTGCCCAGCCATCCCAGAAGACAGCTGATTCCAAAACCACTGGTACCTCACCTCCACCTCTGAGCCACTCCCACACCCTTATTTTCAGATGCCATTGAAGTTGGGGTCCCCTTGAGTTCCATGGAGTGGCCCCTCAGATCTGCTGTCCCGGTCCCCAGGCCAGTGGATGGTGTTCCTAAGCAGATGTGAATCAGGTCGTCATCTGTAGCTGCACTGGGGCCCTCGGGTGTCTAGGGTCCCCAGCAGGCCAGGACCAGGACGACAGGAATGACCTCCAGCCATTCAACCTCAGCCAGGCGGCCACACACCTGGGAAGGCCTGTGGCTAGCTCTCCCATGAGCTCAAGGGGACAAGAGGAGAGGGGAAAGCGCTAGCTCCGCACCTGGAGTCCACCGGACCAGGCTGGGAGAGCCAGCTTCTTGGGCTTGGGCCCCTCAGGTCATCATCCCAGTTCCCATAGTTCTCTTGTTTTCTTTTCTTTTCTTTCTTTTCGTCAGTTGTAGGGCTTGAACTCCAGACCTGGGCCTTGTCCCCAAGCTCTTTTTGCTCAAAGCTAGTGTTTTTTGTTTTTTTTTTTCTTAAGGCTAGCATTCTACCACTTTGAACCAGAGCACCACTTCTGCGATCCTCAGATCACAGCCTTCTGAGCAGCTGGGATTACAGGCTTAAGCCACTGGCACCTAGCAAATTTTCCAGTTTTCTTCTGAGTCACTTAATCCCAGACCCTGCCCAAAATTCTCATCTCCTGTGTTCTCATTCCATTTCCAGACCTTGTTTCCTCCAGTGCCCTGGTTCTCCTAGCCTTCAGACTCCCAGCTCCAAGGGTACGCCCCAGGACCTAAGACCAGACCTCCATTGATCTTAACCAGGCCCGGACATTCCACAGTTACTATTCGGGAGAGGAGCATGCCCACTGGTGGCTTGATGAGAAATGGGTGGTGACTCCGTATCTAGAGAAAGAAGTTTCTTGTGCATGTGGATAGTCCTGCTGCCAGACCCATGACCCTGCTCACAGGATCCTCACACTCAACCCCCACCTTAAACAAGTCAAGGTCAAGCTTCCCTCTTCAGGTCATCCCGGAGTTTTGTCAGGTTGGTCCATCCAAGGGAGCTAGAGGCATGGTCCAGGACTGGGAGGGTCACTGGGAGTGGAATGGGGTATGTCAAAAGAATGGTTACCTTGCCAGGCGCTGGTGGCTCACGCCTGTCATCCTAGCTACTCAGGAGGCTGAGATCTGAGGATTGAGGTTCAAAGCCAGCCTGGGCAGGAAAGTCTGAAACTCTTTATCTCCAATAAACCACTAGAAAATTGGAAGTGGTGCTGTGGCTCAAGTGGTAGAGTGCTCACCTTGAGCTGAAGAGCGCAGGGACAACACCCAGGCCCAGAGTTCAAGGCCCACAACAGACAAAAAAAAAAAAAAAAGAATGGTTACCTTTGCCCTCACAGGGACAAAGGTCTGAGCCCTCTCAGCAAGCCAAGGAGGAGCCAGGAGGCTTGAGTTTCCAGACTCAGCTCTGACAACATTCTTTAAATGCACAAGGAATTTGTGAGCCATACAAGTGGGCAGACCGAGGAAAGGCCTGCCCTGGAGAGGAAAATGGAGGGGGCAGCTGGAAGTGGAGCTGTGGCTCAAGTGGTAGAACACTAGCCCTGAGCACACAAGTTTAGGGACAGGGCTGGGAAGGTGGCTCAGTGGTAGAGCGCTTGCCTTGCATGCGTGAGGTCCCGGGTTCGATTCCTCAGCACCACATAAGCAGGAAAAAAAGGCTGGAAGTGACGCTGTAGCTCAAGTGGTAGAGTGCTAGCC